CAGGTAGAGGATGCATATACAATGCTACAATCTGTTGTCATCAGTGCCTCATTTCTGTAAATTAGAAATTCATTGTCATTCATCATGATAACAATCTCACAATAATAACTATGCTTTTTTTGAGCAAGAACCAAATGTCACTGACTCACCTCAAAGTCAAAGGCACCAATCAGCATTTCGGCCAGTGCCCAAACATTATTGAAAAAATATTACACAGTGCTTACGAGAGTGCACAGTTTCCTTTTAGCAAAAATAACAACAAGGTGTGTGAGGTCTCACACCACATGAATCTCCCTACAGGCTGTGGCATGCTGTCAGAGTCCCAAACAAAACTAGTACAGTCAGTGAGCAACAGCTCCACATCCATCAGCCTATTCCCAGGAACCAGAGATAACTATAGCTGTGAAGTGTACAAAACATGACGTGGTAAAACTGTCACAGCTACAGCCATGCCGAAATGATGTATCCACATTAAGTCTTCAAATCACTGTTTTCTCTTAAAAATGGACTGTCAGTGCTGTTTTTGGTTGACTGTCATGTTCTGACTCGTGCACTGGAACTAGAGTTATTGATAGCAATCAAAATGAATGTTGGCTGCCACAATAAATGAATTCATTACATTTAAAGCTTTAGAGTTTCTGATCACAGCTCAGTATATATTGTGATATACAATCTCAGCTGTGGCTCATGGCTGGGAAAGCAGGTGAGATGGGACTGATAATAAGCTCATGTCTAACTTAACACCTTGAAATTGGCTTGTTTACAGAATTTAATTAATATGCAGTGTAATCAGTGTAGGTGGAGGGGAAAACACTCTGTACACAGCGAGACTGTCCCATGAAGGCATTTTGACAGAAATCTATCAGAAACATAGAAAGAGATTCCAGATTACGCAAACATGTATTGTAAAATAGCAAAGCATGTACAGAGAATATGTAAAAGACTCTAATGAACTTTCATATTATGCATTCAGTGATGTGGATGATAGCTGGCAAATTGCATCTTGCCAAAGTGACAGATGTCCTTGGGGCCTTCAACCCCACAGGTCAATGTCACATGCTCACAACCATTAAGAGGCAGTTGCTTTTTCCCCCCTCTATCAATGCATACCCCTCCATCTGAGAAGAGAACAACTGACCCACATTCTTCTAAAACCCAGTTCAGTAAAGCACCTCAAACTACCATTTTCTTTTCTTGCCTGTATCAACAAGGATAAAACTAATCTTTGAGGGACCAATAGGGAGAGAAAGTAACCAGCCGGACAAAGGTATGAATAGAACGAGCTGATTGCTGAGGTTAATATTTGAAGGTTCAGCACACAAACTAGCCTACAGTGGAGCTCGAGCCTTACTAGCCCAATTGAGACACACATGGCGTGAGCATGTAGACCAAACCATGAAATGTTAACTACTTTAGTGTTAAGTGTCATAAACCAAACAGCATCAAAGATGTACAGCTTCAGAAAGAATTTACAGCATTGATCATTGATTACCCAAACCAACCTGTTTGTGCATGCTTGGTATTCAAACCACAGCAACACTAACAGCCAACCCTGACACTGGTCCAACAAGTGAGAGGTTTTTACACTATGGAATACTGGAAGGGGGGGATAGGTCCATCCAGTGCAAACAAACATTCTTGCAAGGGTGGTTGAAAAACATGTTTGGCAACATAAGCACTTTTGTCATAACACATCTCCTGATGGGGAGGAACCAGAGAGCAGATTACAATTTTGGTCATAAATAAGTGGCATAACTGGCTGCAGAGGATTAAAGGGATAGTTCACCAAAAAATTAAAAAATTCACTCTATCCGATGGAGGGGTAGGTGAAGTGTTTAGGTCCACAGAACACTTTTTGTTTCAGGGGTAAACAGTGTTGCAGCCAAATCTAATACAATCACCTCCATACTGCTCCAAGTGTCCGAGGATATCAGAGGACTTTAGGCAATGTTTGGCTGCAACGCAACAGTGTTTATGGACTCAAACACTTTACCCACCCCTCCATTGGCATAGTGGTGAGTAGATAGATTGTATTTTTTTTTTTTTTTTACACTTTGGTTGAACTATTCCTTTAAGCCTGTAAGAGCTGAAAAGGCCTCTACCTGCCTGTCCTGCACCCTTAGAGCAGGGCACAGTCCCAGGTAAACATTCCGCCTTCCAGATGTCTGCAGCACACATCAGGCCGAGACAAGACTAGACCTGCGACTCCTCCTTATCTCTACATGCCCCGGGCTCTGCCCATCCTGGGTGCTAAGCCTCTGCAAAGAGCAGAGTTTTAACTGTCAGGGGCCAAAAGCAATGACACTCAACCAGGTGGAAGACCTTTTTTTTCTTTTTTTCTTTTTTAAATAAAGGTCATCAGGTGAGTTAGGCTTGTCATGTCACATCTGGCTCTGGGCAAAAACAAGTAGGAAAGTTGTCTCAGTTTAATTAGCTTCTCGTGATATGACCGGCGGCAAGGAGCGTTAAAAAGAGAGAGTTGTTGCTGTGGTGAATACAGTAGCTCTGTGAGATGTTTCTTATGAAGCTGAGCAGCTGGTCTTTAAAGAACAACTTTAGGTGGAAATTGAATGTATATAGTCTTTTATTTGACTTTTTTATGGTAAGCTCTTTCTACCTTGCTTTTATTTTTAATGTAACTATTGCACTGCTGAGCCAACCGGTTTCTTCTTGTCCACCTGTGTGAACTTGCATATGACTAATAAAAGTTGATTTAAATCATCTTGATGTTGAGTGATGTGTAAGGCTCACCTGTTGCAGAGCTTTGTCCAGGGGCTCAGCCTTGACGAAATCGTCCAGAGTCAGTCCTGTTTCCTCTTTGCACTGGTCTGTCAGCTCCAAAGTGTCTGGCTTTACAAGACATCTGTGAAGCTTCCCGACCTGTGGAAGGGATTTAACGTTTCATGGCGCAGGATGCAGCGTGAACACAGACATGCTAACATGTGTCAAAATGCAGCTTAAAGTTTATACACCCCGCATTCAGGAAACTTTTTTTTTTTTTTTTAAACAGTCAAACAATTGACAATGTAGCTGCTAAAAGCAATTAATTGTCAATAAAAGTGTTGACACGCCAAACCAAGATGGTGTGTGTTCTCCATGAGGTGAAACGACACCAACTCTTTGCTCGTCAGATTTGGGTCGCACACCTGTGGAGAGGTGCGCTAACGACGGGTGTAGCGTGTGTTAGCTAGCATGAGGCGGTTACAGACGATACAAGGAGCACACCGTGTTGGTTTGGATGTCAAACACACTACAAGTACACACTATGCCAACAAACACTACACAAGGAACCGTACAACGAACGGGGTCAGTAAGGTCCGTACCTTTTTCTCATGTAGATCCACAATTTGCCACACCAAGAGAATTATTTCCCTCTCATCCGAACCCAGTTTACCCCCATTTGCACCAGCTGTTGCCCCAAAGAACACCACCAGAGTATCACTGTGCGAAGCCATCAGGGACCACAAGGGTAAAAACTACAATTAGAGCAAAGATTCAAATAAAAATAACACGAGGGTTCACCTTTTTCCAAGTGATAAGAGGAGCGAACAAAAGGGCTGGAAACTCAATTGAGGTTCACGCAGAGAGAGAGAGAAATAAAGAAGGGAGATAATTTCCAGAGGAGCCACGGAGGAGTTTGCGGTCAGAGACTGTACCTGTCGCAGTACTTGAGTGTGATGTATCCAGAGATACTGGTTTAACTGGTAAAGAAGGGAGGAAATCCGTGTTTCTTTCACGCCAGCTCCATGACAAGCCCCGGAGGTTTTTTTTCTTTTCCTCCCTTCAGTTACCTGTGTGGCTCGGCCCCCTGCGCGAGGAGAGGCCCAGCGGCGGCGCTTATTGGCTGGTTCGCAAAGGTAAGGGCGGGACGCTGAGGTGAGTACTCTGATCTCATTGGTCGTTGGCTGTTGGATCAGGAAGTAGTGCGGCGAATCGGCCTGTAAAACCCTGGAGCCTGATGATGCTTCACTGATAAAGACTGAAGGAAGGTACATGTCATTGGCCTTCACTTGTTTTTTTACTACTCATGTTTTTTATCCTCATCTTTTGCCATTATGTTTAAAAAATGTTGTATTATTTCATCTGCTGTCTTTGATTTCTGATTTCGTATTAAATCATTTGTTGTCTTAGATTTTAATGACCCTTCTTGCTTTATTTGATTTTATTTGTGCAGTACTTTGTAACAGCACTTTTCAAAACTGATATGTAGTTGCTATTGTAATTATTATTATTATTATTATTGTTAATATAATTGTTGTTATTATTATCAAACATGTATCTACCAAGGTAATATTTGTTGTATGTAGGAGCCATGAATGAGTTTAAGAAGAATATTATTATTTTGGTTATGATACACTTTATGGGTTTGTATTTTGGCAGTATTATTTGGATTATTTGTTATTCGTTGTTTATTTGTGATCATATTCATTTGGCAGGAAGTAGGTCACATATGATATGTGTACCTGTTCACCTTTGCGGTGTGGGAGAGAGGGGGGGGGGGGACGACGACGACGGGACGCTGCATTTGGTTGTTTTGTTCACCGCTACGCTATTTTCCGTTGGATCTCTGTGATTACTTTACTCTATGAGTTTGTGCACGTTGCAATAAATGGATTATCTCTTTCTTTATTAAAAGTTGAAACGCATTTTTACGGATCTTTTGATTCGCGCGTCATTCAAAATATCAGGCCCGACGTCAGCCACTCAGTGACACGTTTGTTTTCTTGACGTCACTACATTGTCTGTCCTCCCTCTTGTCTCATGTGTTTGTGTTACAATTTGAAGAACTAGAATGGCGCGTACCTCCACCAAGGCCCAACTCTCCCCTTAAATCTAAACAAGCTTCACCAAATTGTACAACCTCATAAATATTATAGTCCCATAAACATGCCGGATTTTTTATTTGTCCTCTTTGTGAAGCACATTCTAATACTATTTTGCAGATCGCCAAACACCTTCACACACAGAGCACATTTGTTTGAATATTTTGAGAAGCTTTGTGTTTTATTATTTTTATTATTTGACATTCAGATCAGTTCTGTTTGAAATGCTGACAGAATTTGCATTTAAAAGATGATCCAAAATATAACCTACAATAATTCTATGAACTGCGGTCAATGTTATTGCCATTCAGTACTTCTGTCTGTCCCCCCTCTTGTCCCACGTGCTTATATTACAGTTTGAAGAATAACAATAAGTGCAAGACCTTTTTGAATCTCTGTCCCAAGAGATATTAACTGAAGTAAAGTAATACACCATCAAAATCTTGTTCTTGACATTTTGACTGATGCATTTGCAAAACTGTACACCTTTGCCATATAAGGCCATTTTTCACCAAGTGTTTAAAATTTTAAACATTAGATCCTTGCGAGAGTGACGTCATCAGTAAGAATTTGTTTCCGCAGCAAGTAAGTGTAACAAAGTAAGTAGAGTTTTATTTAATATGCACTTTTTGTGAACAAAGTAACAAGGTGCTTCACATAAATTAAATAACACATACAAGTGGTAATGCACAATCAATATATGCAATCAAAAAGTGTGAAAAATGTGCAACAGAGAGATAATAAAACACTCATGGAGACAAAAGCCAGTGTGAACAAATAGGTTTGAATTTCTTCAACCGCAGAATTAAATCTATAAGAAGAGTGTGCTGTAATGTTTTGGCCAAAACTTGGAAAGCACAGTCATCTTTTAAACAGGTATGTGTGACAACCAGTGAGTCAGAGGACCTGCAGTGACCTATTGATGTGTGGGGATGGAGCAGGTCAGCAGGTGATGTTGCAGTTGATGGTAAATCTGTTATAAAAAAAAGGTGTGAGGGAATACTTGACTTGGCAATGCCTAGTGTTTTTTTTTATTATCTGGGAGCGGTTTTTCTTCTTTTGAAAAAAAAGGTGGCACTTTGTAATAGCAACCATTTAGAATGTATTGTTTTTAATCGCCCCACAGGTCCTTGCTGGTCTGATGGAGTTTTCGCTAGTCTTTGGCTCAATTCCCAGAATGCCTTGTTTTGTTGCGCCCGACACTCCCAGCTTTGCTCGCTATGGGCCAGCAGACTGTAGTGAATGCAAGGCTTTTTGTCTGTTCACTTCCTTTCACTCGTTTAAATCCCCCAATCTTGAGAGTAAATCCCAGTGTCTTCTTCCTTGCACAGAAATCTTTCTATCCGACTGAACTGGTCGGGCAAACTGAGATCTCAGATACAAGATACATGTATTTCAATCCAACAAAGGCAAGGAATGTTTAGCTTCATAACAAAACGACAAGCTCCAGACTTTTTTCAGCATGTGTAGTCTGTTGAAAAGTTGGACTGGAGAGACGGTAAACTGTGCAAGACTAAACTAAACTCAGAATGTGGCTTTGCTTTGGTTAATGTGTCAAATTAGATTTTTGTAGTGGGAAGTCCACCACTGAACCAAGATTGTGCCTCAATTGGCAGGTTTTTCTCAGGGTTTTACTTTTGGCTAGGGCATAGGAAATAATGGGTCAAATTTAGATGGATTACAGTAATCGTATTACAAAATAAGTAATGCCTTAAACAATTACTGCAAAGGAAAGTATTGAAGAATACTTTTTAATTTTGTTACAAACTGTCAATGACACCATATTTATAATTTACAAAGAACTAAACCCAAAGTACAATGTCACAATTCAATGACATGATACATAGGCAGGATGTAGGAATGCTCATGAATGGTAATGATTATGTTGAGTAAATAATGCACTGCTGATGTGTCTCATATACGCACTGCTTCCTTATTCTGTGAGAGGACTTGTGCGTCTCTGAGGCAGTTTTCTTGTGCAATCTCGACTGACACGCATTTGTGTTTGTCACACCCTTTCCCTCTGTAATTTTCCACTCTCAGTTAAAATAATCCTGACTCACTATTAATTAAAGGCTCCAAAATATAGCTTCCAGCCCCTGTCACAATGGGTTTGATCAAGTTCAAGTTATTATCATAATGAGCCATCTCATAGCATACACAACATACTAATGGCAAAGCTCGAAAAAAACATTTGTATGAAATGTCAAGTCTTCTTTTTTCCCTCTGAACTCATAATCTACTTACATCTTCCCAGAAAGGACACAGGCCATGACCAAGTACAGCATGTTTGAGGACTTGTATTTTATCATAAAAACTAGTCTATACAAGTTAAATCATTGTACCATTATGTAAGACTTTAAAAGCAACTGCCATGGTAACTACAATGCATTAGTATAATTATAGTCGTAAACATTAAAAAAGCCCTGCATTATGGTAGAGTTGAACTGAGTCCGTTTTTTACTTACATTCAGAACTGAGATTAATTTACATTATTCAATGACTTACTGTATATACTTTATATCGATACAAAAATCTGTAAAGGATGTGTTTTCAGGAAAATTACAAAAATAATAATAATAAATTACACAACACTGAAAAGTTTGCAAAACTACCATAGTAATAACACTGTGCTGTCAGTGCCATCTACTGGTCAGTCAGTAACAGGTCAGTAACAGCAGGTCTTGTTGTCATGGCAACACACAAATTGTCCTTCAAGTTTGAGACAAACTCCAGATGCTATGGCAACATTATAAATAGATGAAATGATAAAATATCAGTAAACAGTCTGCCTCTTGAGACTGTGACAAAACATTGAGACATGATTCCTCTTTTTACTGCTCACTACAGGGAACATGCAATTTTTCATTTTGCAATCTTTTCATTGAGAGGAAGTTGAAAGCAGGACTGGGGTGCAGCACTGAGACTATTGTTACCTAATTTGTCACGAGTAAAGAAACGTTTTTACAAAAGTAAAAATGTTTTGGATTCTATACGAGAGTAAAACATGATAGGTATATTTAACACTTATTTTGAACACAAAATCATTATCGCATAATCAGAGTGTGTTGGAGATGTAGCAGTTCCATGGGACAGAACTGATTCACAATATTAAACATTCTTTGCCATTGTGCAAACAGCGGCTGTGAGCGAATGAAATATTTTTCTTTAGTTAAAACAGAGATAAGATGCAACCACATACTATAAATTATCCAAAAAAAACGGACCCTGAGACATTACAGTAGAATTTTTTTAATATCAAATGACATATATATGTATATATATGTACATAATATACAGTTTTTATAAATACATGGTCACAATCTAAAAGCAAACCAAATCATGGTAAATGGGTAATTTAAAGATTTAGACAAGTATTATAAAGATAAACTGACATCCTGTTGCATTGTGAAATGACAAAATGCTAAATATATTTATATTTACACAGACACACGGAGCACAGATGTACACTCTGTACAGTTTCAATTATTGTTGGATAATTACAGTTTCATTATTTTCACACATTTTTATCAATATGTCCATTTGGGCTTTTGACTCCAACTCACACTTGGAGCTGTTGGTCTGATTGCTTTGTCTCTTAGACACAAAGGACACCTCTCTGTTGCCTTCGCCTGGGGATGTGCTGGAGATGTGTCGGAAGAGCTTCTTGATGCCGATGTCCCGCAGGGAGCTCCTGAAGGTGCGCGCTGCAAACATATAGAGGATGGGGTTTACAGTGCTACTGATGAACACCATGGCTCCGGCGATCAAGATCATGGTGCTCCTAACACTCTCCAGAGACTTTGCTGCATCACTAAAGGAACCTTGGATGCCCAGGATGACTAGTGAGAGGACATTTCCGATGTGATGAGGTGTCCAACAAAGGCCAAACACAACCACCACACTGGCAATGAGAACAGTAGACTTGCGCTTGGACTTGAATGTCATCTGAGTAATCCGGCTGCACAGGCAGCCATAGCAGACCACCAGGATGGAGAACGGTATTATGTAGCCCACCAGTGTCTCCAGCAGCACACAGACCAGCTCCTGAGTCACAGATGAGTACTCCCGGTACAAGCATTGCTCATGATCCATAACCTGAGTTGGGATGACAGGGATGCTGAACAAGAACGCTAAAGTCCACAGAATCAGCAGTACTTTATTAAGAGCTTTTTTTCTTTTCCAGTCAGCTGAAGCAAAAGGATAACGCACAGCCAAAAAACGTTCAACACTCATGAGGGTGATGAGGAAAACGCTGCTGTACATAGAGGCGGTGATCACAAATGCTATGGCTTTGCAGGAGGCCTCTCCAAACACCCAGGAGTAGGCCAGGGAATAGATCCACAGAGGCAGGGTGATGAGGACGAGCAGGTCTGCAAAAGCCAGGTGCAGGATGAGCACCACGGTGTGGGAACGTTGCTTGACGTGTCTCAGGATGGTCCAGATCACCAGAAGGTTTCCCGGGGCTCCAATCAGAAAGGACAGACCCAGGATCACACAAGTGACTGCTGTCTCTTCAGGGGCCATTTCCCCTGAAGGAGACAGCTCAGCTGAGTGGTTCATGCTGAAAGTGTATGTGCTGACAGTGGTGTCTGCATGAAAAGAAAACCAAAGTGCTGTACAAGCAAGTCTTCACTTCCCTTTTGAAAAGACTGCACAGGGTTTCCTCTCAGGCCTGTTTGAGACACAGAGAGGTGATTCATTCATGCATCATACGTCCATTTTTCACCACAGATTGGAAATAAAAAAACATATGTCTTTAGAAGAGTTTCAATTAAATAAAAGATTGATCGATTTTTCTTTTGATCCAAAAGATAAGATTGAATGAGCTTCTCAATCAGACAGTGGGACATTACAGGCAATTTAATGACCATGTTGTCAAGGTTTCTTGACAAATGCAAGAAGGTCCAAAAGCAATGTCCACGATAATCATTCATTTTTAAGAACTGATCTGACGCCTGATGATTCGAACATGTGACTTTTTAACAGGTCATTGCTCTTCCACCACTTTTCTGATTGTGGCACTGCACTACACTGACTTCCTGATTTGTGCAAGCGAGTACCTTAGTTAGAATGTAAGCCAATTAGGTTTGGAGTCATTTAATGTAATGTATATTTTATATTTTATTTAGTATCTCAATATGGTTTATGGGAATAAAATATGACTGTGCAGTTTTGTGTATGACTTTTTCTTTCTTGTCTCTTTTTCATATATACTTTTGTATGCCTCCACACCAATGACAGCCAGTGGCCAGGGGTAATATGTTTTGTATCCCTCTGTCCATCCCATTCTTGTGAACGTGATATCTCAAGAAAGCCTTCAGGGAATTTCATTGCATCTGGCACAATCCCCTTGGACTCAAGGAGGACCTGATTACAATTTAGTGGTCAAGAGTCAAGTGTCAAAGTCACGGTGGCAATTTTTGGCTTCTTAACCATGATCTCAAATCTGCCTTTAAGGAATTCCTTTAAAAAGTTCATAATTGTCACTTGGACTCAAAGATGAACTAAAACGATTTCAGTGGTCAAAGGTCGGGGGGAACTCATATGAATCGGGAATGAAAAAAAGTATGACTGAAATAGCATTACAGGCAGAGGCATACAATCGTAGAGCAGTAATTTGAGTTTCAACAAATGAATAATTGCTCTTATGTGGGCCTATTTTCCCCAATAAGGCAAGACATTTTTGAAGTAGCTCTCTCTTAGATCAAAATTAGCTAGAATGATATGCAAATTAAGTTTTAATAATAATCATGAACTGAAACTCTAGCATTTTCAAAGAACTTTGATTTAGAGAAAAAAACGATGCTTCATTAATAGTGGCATACACAGTAGACATTACACAATACTATAGGCCACATCAAATTGTCAGAACATGTCAATCACCATAATTAATTAGTATAAACATTGAGGAACATATGACACAGTCACGTTTGCCTATATTGACATCCAAAGCTGAAAGTGAGACAAGGATGGGAGAATATGGTCACCTTTAATAATATCTTTCATTCACAAAATCCAAGCTTTTAAACCCTCAGATCATACAAAGGCATCAATATTGAAAAGTCCATTAATAATTGCAGAAGACAAAGTTCACATTTTCCAGGCATGTCAGTTTCAGGGATTCAGTTTTTCTCACACTGGTCAGACATTAGCTCTACCTGTGTATTTGCTGCCATCTGGCTTGTCTGCTGCTGTACTACCAGCTCCATGAGTTTGTGGGCATGAGTGGCCATTTCCTGGAACAGCCTGACCAGTCGGGAATTCCCTTGAAAGTTCCTCGAAAGGAAGAAGTAGAGCACAGGATTCAATGAACTGTTGATGAACACAAGAGCACCGGAGCACAGAACAAAACTATCTGGCACACAATCATGCTGACTGCCTGACTTTAAGATGCAAACCAGATCCATGATGTTAATGATGTGGTAAGGAAACCAGCACAGACTGAAGGCTATAACCACCGTGTGTACGAGAACCAGGGATCTCTGCTTGGTGTTGTAAGTCATTCTCCTGAGTTGGGCTGTCACTAGACAGTAACAGATAGTTATGATGATGAAAGGAAAAACAAAGCCCCCTAAGGTCTCCAGGCACAAGATGATGATCTCTTGAGTCACAGAGCTGAATTCCCTACTAAAGCACTGCTCACTTCCATCATTTTTATCCAAAGACTGGGTGAGTAAGACAGGTACTCCTAGAATGAAAGCAAGGAGCCACAAAAATACAGGACACCAGTTCATCGCATGCTTAATCTTCCAGCACATCATTAAAAATGGATGGCAGAGAGCTAGAAAGCGTTCCACACTCATGAGGGTGATGAAGAAGATGCTGCTGAACATGCACACAGTGATGATGTACACTATGGCTTTGCAGGAGGCTTCTCCAAACACCCAGGAGTGGGCGAGGGAGTAGATCCAAAGAGGCAGGGTGATGAGGACCAGCAGGTCAGCAGCAGCCAGGTGCAGGATGAGCACCAGAGTGTGGGAGTGACGCTTGACGTGTCTCAGGATGGTCCAGATCACCAGAAGGTTCCCTGGAACTCCAACCAGGAAGGACAGACTGAGGATGACACAAGCCGCTGCTATCCCACCGTCAAACTCTTCAGGGGCCATTTCCTCTGAAGGAGACAGCTCAGCTGAGTGGTTCATGCTGAAAGTGTATGTGCTGACAGTGGTGTCTGCATGAAAAGAAAACTAAAGTGCTGTACAAGCAAGTCTTCACTTCCCCTTATGAATCAAATGAACAGGAACAAGGTATCTCAAATCAAGAGACATAAATGTGATTTCACGCATGTCTCATAGTCATGCAATGATTTACTTTGCATGACAAAAACAAAGGTCAAAGGTTGTTTACAATGGTTCGGCTGTAAAAGGAAGGAGATATACTTTTCTTTCACTTTTACTTCACTCTACACTAAATGACCTCTTGTACTTTTTCCATTCCACAGATGATTATGTGAGCAGTCAGACACAACAATCTGCTAACTCCATCTATTGCATAGATGCTCCAGATTAGCAATGTTTGACATCAGACTCTGAGTTTAATTGTTAGACTACAATTCAGTCAGGTTACTTATTCATTACTCCCATGGCTTCAAGTGTCACTCATTTCATGATTTAAATGTTACAGAATAAATCCATAGTGACATCACAGCAGATGAAGATGAAGAAAAACATCTGCTTCCCTTTTTTTTTTTACATGTCATGTGCCGTGTAAATAAAAGAAATGAAATGAACATCAACAATAAACAATACAAATAAATTCTTTTTTAAGCACATAAAAATGTATCTAAAAAGTTCAATCAGCACTTTTTTGTCAAAGCCTCATAAACTTTAATTATTGCATTGCATTAGAAAAAAAAATCAGGCATGTATAGGGGACTGATATCAATGAGTGAATAGTTCGGTGTGGATCCAAATAAAAATCCGGTTTGTGGTAGAAATTGTGGTTTCATAAGGGTGTTAGTGAAGGTATGTGTTCTTCTGAGAGACATATATCCACCTGTCCATCCATCTATCCATCTATCTATCTATCCAGCCATCTATCTATCTATCCATCTATCTAATAATCTATCTGTCTGTCTATCTATCTATCGATCTAAACCATCCTGTCCATAGGTATTTGTTGTAAACAAATCATTTTAATTTGAAAGTTGTCGTGATGACGTAGTTACGGTGCGCAGCTCCGACAGCCCCCCCCCTCAGCTGCTTCCTCTGTGAAATAAACAAGACGATGTTGTCAACTCCGATGTTCCCGGTGCTGCTGCACTAAAAGTACAACACGGAACACGACGAGGGACGCCAGACATCATCTTCAATCACGTCTGCGACGAACTGTGAGTGACGATCTGACATCAGCTCGATGTCCGGTGCTTGTTTACACTGGTCGGCTTTGTGGCCAACATTAGCTGACAGCTAAGTTAGTGCTAGCTAGCGTTAGCCAGGTGATAAGCTAACGGCAGGGGCGTGAGCTGCTTCCATTCAGCTTTAGCGCTACGGGGGTATTTATGTAAGCTTGCTCGATCGCCGACTTCAATAAGCTTTAATTTAGACATAAACCAACTGTTTAGAGCTAACACATGTAGTTAGCCTACTAGAGAACAGAGTAAGGTTGTCAATGGTTAACGTCAGTCTGCTAACTTCCTGGAAACTACCATGACAATCTTGCATTAGTATGTCAACTGTCTGTTTCCACAATCATCATAAATACACACATTAGCACGAGTTAGCAACGATCCAGTGCTAGCACGTTTGCATTTGTGTAACAATGACGCAGAGTTGAGTAATAAAGTTTGGCTCACTCACTTCTGCCCTTACAGGTTGTTTGAGTTGTCTGATCAGGACAGACCCCGTTTCTACACGTTGAGAAGAAGAGGAGCTCACACACTGCGATGCCTCTGCTGTTTCTGGAGAGGTTTCCATGGCCCAGCCTGCAGACCTACACCATCCTGAGTGTGGCTCTGCTCGCCGGCAGCATCTTCACCGCCTACAACACTGTCACTGATCCAGGCTTTGGGGCCTTGGAAACCGATGAAACACCCGCTGCCCCAGAGGTGGATCTTGAACATCTTAATAATGATTTTAGTAACACGGAGTTGGCGACCACTGTGCTGTGGTATCTTGCCACTGACAGTCTCTTTGTGTGGGTGAGTGTTGTCGGGTTAAAGAGGTTGCATTGCTCAAGAAGAAAAACTAACTAACTAACTAATTAATTTTCACTCTGTTCTCATGATCCTCCAGGTGTTAGTCAACACATTCTGCTGCTCTTTGATGTTGTTTGCCAAAATGATTCAGTACGTGGTGTTCGGCCCACTGAGAGTCAGCGAGAAGCAGGTGAGTCTGTGTTAAAATTAGGTCTGTCACATAGCCTGGGGTTTTAAACCTCTAAGCCTTTGCAACTCAAATGTAGACCCTCTTGAAATGAACTTACTAATGTTCTCTGTGTTTACTCCTCAGCACCTTAAAGACAAGTTCTGGAACTTCATCTTCTACAAGTTTATTTTCATTTTTGGCGTACTGAATGTGCAGACTGTGGAGGAGGTGGTCATGTGGTGTTTGTGGTTCTCGGCACTGGTCTTTCTGCACCTCATGGTTCAGCTCTGTAAAGACCGATTTGAATATGTAAGTTCTATGCTATAGACTATTCAAGCACTTTGTACATTGTAATGTAGATGAAGGCATTGGAAAAGGCCAGTGTGACATTAAGCAGCTTTAGGAAGCTATGCAACTAAAACTAAACAGCTGAAGAGCATTTTCACAAAACAGTACTTTTTTAAGTTTTCTGTTTCTTTGCCTGGAGAGATTATAGAGGATGATAGATGGTCTAAGTGAAACCTTTGCCTATTTAGGCTCCATAGTAAACATGAGAGAACTAGACCTACATCCTCTGTGACCTCCTTTTTACTCGTAAGTACTTAGAGTAAATACCAGGTGGCAGAAAGCCTGCTATTTAACAACACCTGATCAGTGCACATACAAACTTCATGCTGAAGTCCCAATTATAAAGTGTCCTAAGCGTCCCCCAAATGTCTTAAGCTCTTAGTCTATTAATAGTTCCATTGCACTGGTATGTTAGCCTACTGATACAGTTTCACTAACTACATCGACATGAGCCTGTATCAGGTTGTGCTGTGCATGTTGGGCAAAACAAAATATCAGATTTATTCAGCTCCTTGCAAGCAATGCCATTTAAAACGGCCGTGAAGCTGGTATGTTGCCGGTAATGTTGACTGGCTTGGTGTAGCTGACTCCCTCTGCAGAATCTATACCAGTGTATGAGTTTAAATGTCTTCTTTTAGAAGTAGTCTGTCAGTTGTGTCTGTCCAGCTGTCTTCTGTGTATCTGCTTCTGTGGGTTCTAGCTTTAGGGGACAAACAGAAACACTAAAGATGATAAATATGTCGTGAGTGTGTAAACCTTGTTAAACAATTATAACAAATATTTGAACATTTCAGGAGTTCACATATCTGTAATGATGTATCCAATGTGGTCTATACACTCTAGAGCTGTAGGTATTTTCTGTACATGGACTTTATGTGGATTGTGTTTGACAAGTTTATTGATTTTTAAATGGTCCCACAGTAGAAATGCACTTTGAGTTTGACACTCATGGCACTGGTTCTTGTTGATGTGTGATCAGTAGTGAAGACTGTATGTGAGCAAGTTAAACTGTTCTTAACTGTTAAACTTGCAAATATTCAGGATTGTAAATGTTTGCCATCAGCCGAATGTTGCATGAATATCTGCATTCATATTGTGATTGTTAAGTTGTATACTAAAAATACCAGAATCACCTTTGTCCACTGAAGTCCACTAGAAATTCCCAAATTATTAAACTAGTCAATTTTATTTCTTTATTGTAATTGAGGACAAAGAAAACTCTCATAAATACTTTACTATCCACATTTCTTCCCCACAGTTGTCATTCTCCCCCTCAACTCCCATGCACAGCCATGTGCGAGTGCTCTGTCTGCTGGTCTCTCTTCTGTTGGACTGCTGTGGCCTCGCTGTGGTCTGTGGTCTGCTAGGAGCCTCCCATGGCATGCACACCCTCTCCTTTATGGGAGCAGAGGTGAGAGTCTGGAACCACAACTGTATAAAAATGGCAAAACTATGTTTAAAATCCACTTAGATCATGCTTAGAAAAGACGATCTTGCACTCTTTAATAAAAGCTTTTATTTAGGCCCGTATATCGACCTAATCTATGTTCTTCATTCTACAGTGTCTGCTGGTGACTGTGCGTACTGGGCATGTCATCATGCGGTAAGTCTCTTAAAAGAATCCTTACACATGCACGCACACACACACACACACACATGCACACACCGCAGCAGGACAGATGACATAGCCTCTACAAATTTGAAATGGAACTAATGTTTTCCTCTGGTTCCATTAGCAGCAGTATGAAAGGCCTCTTTGTCCCAAAGAAAGTGGTCAGGACTCAAATCAGCTGAGGCACTAATGGATTCATTAGTGTTTCTCTAAACCTGGAAACTTTGTCACTAGTTGAGCTGTAGCTTGACTCGATGGTCACAATATAGTCATTTATTAAATCTCACGTGGAACAAGCTGGGATATATTGAGTATATTTAATATCTGTGTTAAAAAGTTATGCATGTCCTCAGGTACTCCATTCATCTGTGGGACCTTAACCACCCAGGGACTTGGGAGAGTAAGGGGACTTATGTCTACTACTCAGACTTCATCATGGAGCTTGCCATGTTGTTTCTGGACCTCATGCACCATATCCATATGCTGGTAAGATACACTGAAGGCACAGAGACATGTGATGTTCTGAAAATGTAGTATGTCCCTGTTTATCTTGATAGTTCCCTAATAGTCTACCTTTTCTGTCTCTTATTAGCTTTTTGGGAACATCTGGCTGTCAATGGCAAGCTTGGTTATCTTCATGCAGCTGCGGTATCTCTTCCATGAGGTCCAGCGTCGCGTTCGCAGACATAAAAATTACCTTCGTGTCATCAACAACATGGAGGCCAGGTGATGCTGTGTTTTATTTGTTTTCTCCTTTTTGTTTTATCTTGTTATTTCTGACTTTGAGCTTTATACTTTGTCGATTGCCACTTGTTTCATCATTATTTTCATATTCTGTGAACTTTCAATGCAGGTTTGCTGTTGCTACTGCCGAGGAGCTGGCAGCTAATGATGACGACTGTGCCATCTGCTGGGACACCATGCTGACAGCACGCAAACTACCCTGCGGCCATCTTTTCCACAAGTAAAGGGATTTTTAGGAGTTGCTTCCATGCAAGGGACGGTTGCAGTATCACTTACATGGGGCTCCATATCCTAGAAACTGTTTATTTTTGTGGTATAATAAAGATGCCCAAAGGAGAGACTACACCGGAACAGTTCTATCTTTTATAGTTATATGAATTTCATTGTATTTTTTTGATAATATTAGAGAAGTTTGGTGAATGTTCTTCTGTAAGATTCCCTGCGCAGATTAGAAACAGATGACTTGTCTTGACACTTGAATTCCAAGTCTTAATACTATAATAATAACATTGGTGATTTGTGTGTCTGTTCTTCCAGCTCTTGTTTACGGTCATGGCTCGAGCAGGACACCTCATGCCCAACATGTCGGACCTCCCTGAACATCAGTGGCGATGGGGGCCAAGCGAGAGGCCAGCCGCAGGGCGGAGGTATGGAGGGCAACATCGTCCCCGGAGGAGCTGCTCCAGAAGCCAGACCACATGTCAACCATCACAACCACTTCTTCCATTTTGATGGTGAGTCTGTCAGACACTGATCAGAGGAAGAATGTTATTGTGGAGTCACCTTCCACGGATCGTCTGTGTCTGACAATTAAACCCACATATTCCCCTGTAGGATCTCGCATTGCCAGCTGGCTGCCCAGTTTCTCAGTGGAAGTAATGCACACTACCAATATCCTGGGCATCGCTCAGGCCAACAACAACTCCCAGCTCATGGCCATGGTGAGTTCAAGTTTACGGTCTGATGACGTTTTTTAATTTTAAGAGTGATTACACAGATAGCAGTTTGCACAAACCATTGCTAAAATAAATATTTTCCCTGTCTTGTTTACAAGCAGCTTGTGTCTACTGCTTCAAAAATATTGCCTTGGTTCGAGTACTATAACTAAAATGCTCTTAACATAATTACTTGCATATTAGAAGTCTTGCTAAATGCTTGTTACAACGATGACCTCTGTAGTCCAATTCACCAGATGTAAACTGTGGTGCGAGGCTGCTCTTGGCTGCATGGCTCAAGCAGCATTCTCCTTCTCTTTCACCATCTGCCTGTTATCATTATCAAACGGGGGTTGCAATCTCATGGTTATTATCCATTAAATCAAGCTAGCTTAACTTGGAACTGCAGCTGAGATCATTAAGGGATGATTGTAACTAAATAATCATGTGACACAGTTAGAAGATAATACAATTGATCTTATGTGTAATACTGTAAAACTCAAATAGTGCTGTTTGCCCTAACCTCAACCCTACTGGCATTACAAGACTATTTTTAATCCAACAGATTTGGTAGAAACTGTTAGTGAATAAATATGCCAAAGAAGATTTGAGATCTTTTGAACAGTTTCATCCTTTAAATCACTAACACTGTATGCATAAGACCTGCTTGAGTTGATGGTTTTAAAAGATACATTTTAACTTGCACCAGCTTAAGTTCTGCTCTTCTGTTCACTCCGTCTTTTTCTGAATCCTTGTCCATGTAACGTCTGGTCATCAGGCCCATCAGATCCAGGAGATGTTCCCTCAGGTACCGTCCTACCTGGTGATGCAGGACCTGCAGTTGACCCGCTCTGTGGAGGTCACCACCGACAACATCCTGGAGGGACGCATCCAGGTGCCTTTCACAACACAGGTCAGTTATTTTAGGCTTAAATGTTAACAAGGGTGCAATATAACATTTTTAACACAATGCTCCTGACTTTCTTTCAAATTGGTCAGAGGCAGACTGGGTCACACTGTCTGACATTATTTCTTTCGCCTTCCTTCCTTAGGCCATAGAGCGGTCCCCTATACAGGGGAACAATGCAGGAGAGGAGCAGGCAGGGTCCAATGGAGCAGCTGAGCAGGAAATCAACGAGGCAGACAATATGGAGGTCAGAGGGGGTCGCTTCTCCAAGTCCGCTGAGGAGAGGCAGAAGATGCTAATGCAGAGAAAAGAAGAGCTGCTCCAGCAAGCTCGCAGGTTGGCACACTGCTGCTTTGAGATTTTTTCTTTTACCAAACAATATGGGTTAACTATATTTGACATGTGCTGAATCAAGATAATATCACAGAAGTTTGAAAAGTGAAGATTCTCACACCATTGAACTATTTAATTTGACATAGGGATGTTTTTCACAAATTTCTGATAAAAAATAGAGTTGCTTGAGTGCTTGAAATGTCATGAAAGTCGTTGAAGACAGGATAAATGCTTGAAGGCTTTCTTGTTTTGAGTACCAGATTAGCAGAAAGGCCCACAAATGATGAGGATTCCTTGTTGCCTTGCTTTCCTAGTATCTTTCATTTCCTGTTCCCAACATCAAATCTTTACATTTTCACTACTCCCCCATAGGAGATTCTTGAACAAGAGTCCAGAGGATCAGGACGAGGATTTGCCTGGACTGGAAGAGGACATTGTCCCCGAGTTGGACTCAAGTGTCCTGAGACGTAGAATCGTGGCAGCAGCTGCAGAGGGACGCATGCAAATCCAGCAAAACCCCTCACCTTGATACCCAAAGCTTGGCTTCAGCTGGAGAGTCTACAACATCATCATCCCATGAGGCAAAAACAGCTCTTTCTACCTGTCCCCATGTGTTGTACAGTCAATGGACACCATCTATTCGAACCTCTAATTAAAAAGCATTGCAAACATTGCCTTTGGACCGTTTTGAGCTGCCTCTATTAGGTGGGACTACTGTGAATAGCCTCTGCATCACTGATACAAGCCTGAGAATTTGGAGCATTATATAAATCGATGGGTGCAAGTTAAGAAATGCAAAGCTGCATTGCCCTTTACTCTCGTGCCACACATTGCAACCACCAGCTTCCATAGAGTCAAAGTGTCTGCTGTGGGAGATGAGCATGCTTTGTATTCAGGAGAGCCAAGTCTTTTCGTGAGAAGGGTTTGAAGGTGTTATTATTCGATAAAGCTACTATTTGGGTCCTTGTTCGTTTTCCTATTTAGCAATTGTTTTTCACTGTGTTTGCTCATGGCAGAAAGCTTCGTATTCTGGAGGGAGGAACTCAGCTGACGTATTCGTGTGTTGTTATTTTATGAGTTTCAACTGTGAATCAAGTGTAGGCTTATTTCTTACCTTTGAGTAGGTGAATGTCACTTTAGTATTGTTCAGCCTTTCAGTCAAATATGAATGTCTCTATCAAAGCAATGCTGCAAACAAAAGTGTTTTTGACCCACACGGGTTGTTCTGTATTTAGTGTGTAATATCACCCAGTGCAAACAAGTTTTCATTTGTTATCTAACACGAGGAGGGAGTTGGTGTGTAAATCTTTGTTTTCTAAAACTGCTCCCAGATAAACAGAGGGGATGTATTTAACTTAAATTACGTGCTGCTGTTGAGTTGTGAAAATATTCTTTTCAGTTGACAATTGCCAACCGTGTCTGATTTCTTTTTAACTTGTGCAGAAATAGTTAAGTCTGTAACAGCAGGTTTTGCTTTCAACAGTCTTCATCAGATCGTTAGGTGAAGCCTCTTGGATGAGCAGCAACAAGATTTCACTAACTTAACACAAATCAAGCTGTGTTTGCTAATTATAGATCTAATATATATAAATCAGGTGAATGACCGAGAATCTTATTGCAGAATATTTTGGGGGCGGTGCTTTTGTTTGTACAGCCTTTGTCTACTCACATTGAGAAGTGCTTACTGAAACATAACAGCAGGGAACATAATCATCCTCTGCTAAAAGATGTTATTACAGAAATGTGCAGCAATGTACGACATGGACTGGGCCATTGGAGCTTTTTTTGGGTGCTGTCAAATTTCACTGAATCTGTAGCTGGTTGAGACGTGTTGACGGACACAAAGATGGACACTGACACTGTGTATTATAAGTGTTTGATTTCTTCGATTACTGTGCGAGGAAAGTTTGGGGTGAGGTATGCATGAATCCAGACAAGTGAGTTGGTTTGCTTCCACTTTATCCCAAAGAGCAGCCCACAAACTTCCTCGAGAGGCAGAAGTGTTGTGATCCTAATTGTGTGTGTTCATTTCATTGCTCAAACTCTGTTTGGGGGTGTTGTAACATTTATTGGATTTAGATTTCAGGTTTTCATTTATTTAAAATGGAAATGGACGGTTTTATTTTCATTTTTAGGTTGTCATCCAGTTACTTAACATCTTTGAATATCCATGATATATTTTCCTAATCATGGGTTAACTTTCATAACCATGTCTTATTTAATCAAAAGTGAAATACTTATTTGGACTGAGCTTTACTGTAATTTTGTGCCTAAATTAAGAATGGTTTGGTAATGGATGATTTCTGTAAATCTAGTTTTTGTAAAATATGTCAATACAAAAGACTCAATAAACAGAGCTTCTACAGCTTTTTAACTAAAGAGGGTGACATTTTCATCTCTTCTTTGTATGTACACAAATGTGTGTGTGTGGTCAACATTTTTTACGCAGTCAAATTTTAGAGACTTGTTTTCCATATGGAGAGAAAAAAAGCAAGTAACATAGATAATTAACTTTAAGGTGAAAACTAGTTTTAAAGTCAGGTTACTGTAAAGGTTAGGTTTAGGTTAAGATTTGGTTAAGGTTAGGTTTAGGTTAAGATTACAGTTAGGTTAAGGGTTAGGTTAGGTTTAGGTTAAGATTACAGTTAGGTTAAGTTTAGGTTACAGTTAGGTTAAGGTTTAGTTTAAGACTACTGTTAGGTTAAGGGTTAGGTTAAGTTATGGTAAATTTAGGTTAAGATTACAGTTAGGTTAAGTAATATTTAGATTACAGTTAGATTAAGGTTATGTTTAGGTTTAGATTACAGTTAGGTTAAGTAATGTTTAGGTTTAGATTACAGTTAGGTTAAGGTTTAGATTAAGATTACAGTTAGGTTAAGGTTTAGATTAAGATTACAGTTAGGTGAAGTTATGGTTAGGTTTAGGTGAAGATTACAGTTAGGTTAAGGGTTA